GATGTTTGGATCCTTGGCACCCACCATAGGGCAAGGCACATAGTAGGGGTCTAAGTGATATTTGTTAAATGTATGAATAAGTAACTGTCTTATCTATGATCAGGTAGATGATAAACATAACAGATAAAATATTCACAGTTACAATTGCCTCAAAGCTCAGTTGTGAAAAAATGTAACTATTTGTTGATAACTCATCTTACCCTCTATAAGAGCCCCCATTTCAGATTATTAAAAGCTTTTACTCTAAAGTATGAACAAAAACTGGATATCTTCAATCACCACATTTATTCAAATTGACATCACATGGCTTCTGTTATGATACACTGAGAAGTCCACAGAATTTCTGCCCTGCCCCCGCAAAGAAAAGCATTATGAAGAAACATCACACAAACTCAAACTGAGGGACATTCCACAAAGAAACTTGTTTGTACACTTCAAAATGTCAAGTTATAAAAAATAAAGGCTGAGGAACGGCTCCATACTGAAGGAAACTAGAATCCTGACAGTATGCGATCCTGAATTTAATCCTGGACCTATAGAGAATATTTTGGAACAATCTGTAAAATCCAAACAAGGCCTGTGGAGTAGAGGGTTATATTATATCAATATTGATTTCCTGATTTTGATGATGTACACTGTGGTTATGTAGTACAGTAATTTTAAGCCAGAACTTTCACTATGACCTGTACATCATCAACAATTCCTGGCTTTACTGCTCATGTAGGTTAGAATAATGGGCAACTTGAAAATGAATCTCAGTTTGGTCACTTGCACGCAATTCATAATGAAAGGATTGGGAACACAGAGTAATGTGTTGACACTGAAAATGAGAATTCACAAAGCACAGTGAAAAGAATGTCAAGATGGTCAGTAAAGGAAATAAGAGTCAAAGACAGAGGAAGCATGAAGCATTCAAGTATGCAGTAAGAGCACTCACAAAGGCAGATATCCAGTTGGTCGTGGATTTGGGGTAGTAATCGAGGATACCAGGTATGAGAGGCATAAAGGAACATCTAGTCTCAAGCCTAACAGTTTCCATCATATTTGTCATCAGAAGACCAGTGTTCTGTTACCAGCTTCATTAAAAACTAATTATAAGTACTATTCAGCAATTTACAAAAGAACAAAATACTGATACATGCTACATGAATGACCCTCTAAAACATTTTGGGAAATGAAAAAATTCAGACACAAAAGACAACATACTGTATGATGCCATTTATATGAAATGTCCAGAAAAAGCTAAACTATAAAGACAGACAGTAGATTAGGGGTGGCCTGGGACTGGGGATGGGAATGGGGATTATCTGTAATCCCCATTTGATTACAGTCAACATTCATTTGTAATCCCCAAATTGAGGCTCTATGCCTTAATTTTCTCATCTGCTATTTAGTCACAACTACAGTACCTAACTCAAAAGGGCTCTTTGAAAATCAAATGAGATAATACAGGTTAAAAGTCTAGAACAATGCCTGGTACTTAGTGAGGGCTCAACATGTACACATACATGTCCAGCTTAAAAATTCAGAAAATAAAATGCATGAAAAAAGCAACATGCATGTAATAAATTATAAACATAGAGAAAAGTAAAAGTTCATACTTCAAAGATTCAGCAACAAACTATAGTTCATCCTAGACAACGCCTTAGTCAAGGTAAATAATTTAAAATACTTTGGGAGAACTTTTTAAATATGTATTGTACAATCAAGTATAAGAAGAACAAAGGAAACATTAAATATACTGTTATTTCCCTAATATTTACAGCCTCAATGAAGTATAAGGAAATGTTGAGACTCTTCCTCAGCCTGTAATCTTCTTACGTTGACATTTTGATGTGTGATTTCCTAATTACATGATTTTTCACATTTTTCCACATTTTTTTCTATACATAAAAGTCCTTTATTGAAAATGAGCTTCCATCTTACATTTTTACTCTATTAACTTTTTTATATAAAGAGAAGTCTGTTGTTCATCTTAACAATATAATCCTGGACCAAAAACTCTAGAAGTCAATACTGCTGAGGCCAAAGGCACTGACCTCACTGACATAGATACACTCTTCCATGTTTTCTTGTTCTTTAAAACATACGCTATGGTATTGGAGGCACCAAAGTTCTCTCTTCCAGGAGGTGTCAAATAATGATATAGATACTGCCTCCTGAACTCAGTCCTGTTCACTGACTCCTCCAGTACCGGTATACAAAGCGAAAAGTTGCTAACTCACCACTCCACCAAAGAAACAGTTGTTTAATTTTAATCTTTTGAAATAACTACTTAATTGAACATAACCTGCATATCTTTGGTTAAACTATTTTCTCACCAGCATCAACATTTATGTTCCCCTATTTATTATCTCTAGGACCATTTATAAAATGAACTTCTGTTTTCATTAATCTATGATTCCATAAGTATTCCCAGATAAAGTTCCTAACATGAAGAGAAAGTAGAGGCAAATTTCAATTATTTGATCAATTTTATCTCGTTAACTTTGAAAACAAACTTACTCTTTAAATTGCATTATAAAAAATACATTACTCTTCACATTAGTTTTACATGGAAATATATAATTATTTGAATATTTAAATATAGTTTCTCTTTAGCAAAAAAAAACCTGTCACTCAGAGCCCTAGTTACACAAAAAAGTTAAATGCACAAATCCAAAACACACTTCACACAACGTTGTCTACATACTGCACAATTTGGAACAATTATAGTAAACATCTATGCAAGATACTGAACAAGGACAAGATTAATAAAAATATTCACTATGGTTATAATTTGACTTTTTACTATTAAAAGAATTTAATGCATACTTGAATACACAAAAAACATCCAATTTTTACCTAATATGCAAATTAAGCCAAAACAAATTTTGACAAAGGGGCACTCTTGTATCCTACCAAATTCTGAAAGTTATTCACTATTTATTTAATTTCAATTATAACTTTTACAATTTCAAGTTTTCAAGCCTGTCTAAAATAATAATGATTATAGGAACTTAGTAAACATTTTCCAAAATGTTTAAAAAAAATCATCAGGACTATTTTATACTTTAATATAATTCAGATATAAACCTTTTCCTCTAAAAAAAAATGATACTTAGAAGTTTCCAATGTGAAAAAGGTAGTATTTTTTTCAAATTCAAGTTTTTGTCACTTGAATTATAAGAACTATTCTCTGTGCACGATGTAATCACAATAGATATGATCCATCATAATTACATGGTACATTTTTTCCGTATGATCTTCTGCTTTAAACTGATGCTAAAAGATGGCAGAATGCCTACCAACAATACTCAAGGGAATTATGTGTCTACTTCACAAGGAAAAAAGACACCAATACCCACAAATAGAATATTTTTATGAATTAGCTGCTTGTTTACTTCCTAATCAGCAGGACAGTCTTCTTTCTAAATTCAAATTGGAGGATTATTTTAAACTAGTGGTTTACAGGTATTTTAAGAAAGGAAATTAAAATATTTGTATATGAGGCAAAGTTGAAGTTGCTTTGCAACTAAAAATATAAACGTTTGTCCATTTTTTTCAATATCATTACTGTTTTAAATTTAGAAGTACAGAAATTACAACGTAACACCATAACATACCCACAGGTTCAATAATGGCCCCTGAAATAAAACTACATTTAGAAACCAACTGTTACACTATACTTAATTCTAAGATAACAAATTTTTATCTCTGAAATCATGGTACACTGATCTAGTTTCAATAAAATATGGTTTATACAATGTAGTAGCTGAAATTCATGTTTCCCTTTAACATCAGTGATAGAAAAGGATCCAGGATCCTTGGCTTAACAGGATAATTATCTGTACCAGCTCAACCAGTATCCCTGAATAAAGGATCTAAAGATTTTCTGAGTACCTCAGACCTAAACTGCATATCTTGACATTTTTATGAGAACTACCAAAATCAGTTAGCAAATTGAAGGAAAGCCAAACCAATGCACAAATACAGTTTTTCACTTGCAAAATGGGCCACCACTTAAGTTATCAGTTTTATTAGATCTTTTGAATTATTAAGATTATAACTTATTAATAACAACAATTAATGATCTGCCCAAATTACCAAACCAGTCATTTCAGTTCAAGCTATTAAAAAGGATATGGAAACATCTAAAATATTTTTAAGAGATAAGGCCATAACATAACTGGATTCTCACATTAAACCACCGACCCTTCAGGTGGAGGGGAAAAAAGGTGGTAGAAAAGCATAATCACACTGGCAAGATCATTTTCCCCTTAAGGTCTAATAATGCTAAGGAAAACCTACAGAGATTGCATGTACGCATGTGTCCAAATGAGGAAAGTTAGATACCTGCAGATTCAGTTTAAATGAAGAAGGAAGTGTTTGTTTTATGTATGTAAAATCACCAGGCAGTTTTTTAAACTGGATTAAAGTTTATGAAATCTCATTCTCTGGAATGCTTTTAAAAGAAAGATAAATTATATTTTGTGTGTGATTATTTAGGTTAATCCCACTCAAAAGCTGAGATAATCTATTAGAGTTTCTTCTTTTTAATTATCCAGTTAGAATATGATATTGACAATGCCACTCTGAAACACACAGAAAATAACTACATATTCATTTGTTCCAATTTTTAAAAAGTAAAAGCATTTTATGTTTGCCACATCCATTCTTGCAATAATATAACCTGCTGACATGAGAGACACAATCATAAAAAATAAATAAGAGGGACATGATTTGAGGGAGAAAGTTGTATATACTGTGCTAAATTATGTGATATAAATTAAGATGAAGCTCTTCCACAGCAAATGGACAAAGGAAGTTCTTTAATTTAAAAGAAAAGGACCCTAAACACTAACTTTAAATTAATATAAAAGTTCTGAAAAATAAGTCTATAGCAAAATAGTTGAAGGTGCATTTTTTTCACCAAAGTTAGGAAAGCTATGTACACTAGGTACCAAATATATTTTCAATTGAAGTACTGAATCCTCAACTAGCCCTTAATAGAAACACCTCTAGTTTACCTCATTACCTCACAATTTGTTAGAGAGCCGTGTCCTCATTCTATCAGAATATGGTATACCAGAATACAAACTTCTCAAAGCATATGTTCTAACAGGTCTAGAAGGCTTTCTTTGTTGTCTTCTAGGGCGTTTTTTATTACCATTCTTCTTACTTCCTGCAACAGCAGAAGAGCCCCGCACAGGTTGCTTGGGAGAAGAGCTTGCTATAGCTCTTGACTGCTCTTCAGCTCCAGCTGATGGAATCGAGGCATTTGAAAGAATTTTAATTGGTCTCTTTGCCTTCTTTAACCTACTGACATCAGATGTTTTCTTCTTAAGATGCATCCTAACAAAAGTGCTCCTGGACCGATATTTGTGACGCAAAAAAACAGAGTATTTTGGAATATACTTTTTAATTATATCACTTAGTTTGGTCTGAATCCAAATCGACCGTTTTTCTGAAGCAATTCTGGTTTTTTGCTGGGGAATAACTGGTCTACAATCTTCTTTGGGAAAACCTGGCTTATTATTAGTTGTCACCTTCCTTCTCTGAATTTTCCTTTTACTTTCCAAAAACTTATTTCTAATTGATTTCAGAGAAATTTTGGCAACATCATGATTTAAAAGAGTTGACTGGAAATTACTTTCTTTTGAAACCTCACTAGAATTCAAAATCTTGGATTTTTCCAGAAACACAGATTCACTGGCCTCCTGATGTGCCATTAATTCATGTCCTACTGACACTGTCATAAAAGGTGCCGAAGCAGAGCTTTGTACATAAGTATCATCTACTCCTGCATTAGAATTTAGGTGGCTAAAATGAATTTCCACACAGTTATTCCTGTCAGGCCCTGGTACTTCTATGTTCAAAGAAGGATCAATTACAATCTGCTTATTCAATGGGTCATAACAATGAAAGGAACTCTGGTTAAATTTGTACTGTATGCTAAGATCCCAATTATTTCTACTACCGTGCCTCCTTTTAGAGAAGTTGTTGGATTCACCTTTCTTCAGCTTAATATTTGAAGAAAGAACATAAATTAAGGCATTTGATTGCAAAGGCTTCAAAACTGTAATACATGATTCAGGAAATTCAACTTTTCCAATTTTTACTTTCTTTCTTGCTTTCCTGTCATTCTGTAAAAGTAAACGCTTCCTTACTGGAGAGTCTTTCTCTTGTCCAATTATTCTTCTTTTTGTCCCTGGGTGACTTGCGAAATTGGTTTGAGTTCCATGGCTGACTTTTATAGCCTGGCATGGAGAAGCCACTCGGCATGTTTGTTCAAAATGCTTCTTTGATGAAGGATAATGGCTAGGTTTATCTAAGGCCACTGAAAAGTCATCAATATCTGAAATACCACCTGCATTATCATCACAATCCGAAAGAACTTGAATTGATGTAGTGTCCTGATTGAGGTCAGTCCAGGTAATCTTTTTTCCTTCATTCGATTTTTTTTTTTTAATTTTCCTGGTCTCACAGTCATCATCAAAGTAACAGTGGAAACGACCTTTCTTAAATTCCTTCACGAGAGCATTAATTTTCACGTCACCTTCTCTCATTATCTGAGACCACGTTTTCCCCACAAATGAAGGAGGGACATGAGGCAAGCCTTCAAGAACTGGTTCATCAGGATCACCTTCTATGACTTCCTTTGCTTTTTCCAGGTTCCGTACAGAATCAACCATGGGAACAGAGCCTGAATAGGAATTATGGTTTGTTTCTTTCAGGTCAAAAGACATCTTCTCAAATAGGTCTATTTTATTAACAGCTTCTTGAGGCTGGTCATTGTCAGACTGAAGAGAGGGATCACATTGAAAATTCTTCCCAGAACCACAAGGTTCACAGCTCATACTTTCTAGATCGGTATGTTTTAACTTCAAAAGGTTTCCTTTATCAGGCATTTGATGAATCACCAACTCAGGAGACTCATTACAATCCATTGCAGAAACACTAGATTCACAGTTCTTATCTTTTAGGCCAATATTTTCGACATCTTTCCGAAGGTTGACTCCTTTGTTAGCCTTCTGGCGTTGCTGAGTCACTGGCTGAGAAGTCTCCTCCCGTTCAAAATTTCTTTTAGGACGATTAGATTTACATCTCTTATCTTTGGGGTCAATATATTTGGCCTTTTTTTTTCCAGGCTCTTGTGACTGGGAAGTCATGCACTGATGAGAGCCATCAATTTGAAAATTTAGTTCAGAACTGTAAGGCTCACAGCTTGTCTCTTCCAGAATAATATAGTCTTGCTTCTGGTTTACTACTTTAAAGGTCTTTTTGGAATGGCTTGTCACTGATTGAGGAGAGGCTTCACAAACATATCCTAGTTCAGAATCACAAGATTCACAGTTCTCATCTTCTGGAACAAAACTTTCTGCATTTATACAGCTGATTTCATTGACAGTCATCTGAGGTGAGTCAATCACTGGCTGAAAATGGACATCAGAATCTGAAATCATTTCACAATCATTATCACTGGTCATCAGGTCCACAAATAGCACCTTCTGAAGATCTGTTTCTTTGTCTGACACTTGAAGTTCATTTATCACTATTTGAAGAGGAACATCAGAATCACACATTATTTCAGAATCACTAGGTTCACTGACTCTTTCTTCCATGCCAAGATGCTTTTCCATCTGAAGGTTTACTTCTTTGCAAACCACTTGAGGTTGGTCAACTTCTAACTGAAGATGAACACCAGAATCACATTTTATTTCAGAAACACTAAATTCACAGTTCTTATGAAGGTCATGATCCTTCTCTTGCAAGTTTATTTCTTTGACAGCCACAGGAGAATGCCCAGCTATGAAGTCAACATCAGAATCATAACTTACTTCAAAATCACCTAGTTTATATCTCTTATCTTCCAGGTAAATATGGTCTTCCTCCCAAAGACCTGTTTCTTCAACAGCTTTTTGAAGCTGTCTAGTCACTAACTGAAGGGGATCATCAGAAACAAAACTTATTTCAGGACCACAAGGATCATTGCTCTTATCTTCCAAACTGGCTTGTGGCTCTTTCAATATGTGTGGTTGCTCAACCACTGATTGGAGATGGGCACTTGAAACATAAATGACTTCAGAATCATTGGGTTCATAGCTCTTAGTACCCAGACAAACATGTCCCTCCCTCAGAAGATGTATTTCTGGAATAGCCTCTTGAATTTCATTAGCCACAGACTGAAGAGGTTCATCAGAAACAAAATTTATTTTTGAATCACTAGGTTTGACAACCTTATCTTCCAAGTCAACATCCTCCTCCCAAAGGTTGATCTCCCTAACAACTTTAGTTTGGCCAGCCACAGACTGAAAAAGGACATGAGAATCACACACAATTTCAAAACACTTAGATTCATCTCTTTTATCTTCCATGTCAACTTCATCCTTCCAAAGGCTTACTTCTTTAACAGTTTCTCTAAGCTGGTTGGCCACTGACTGACGACGGTCAACAGAATCAAAACTTATTTCAGAGCCACAAGATTGATTGTGCTTATCCTCTAGCTCAGTATGCTCCTGCTCCAAAATAGTTATCTGAGCATGATCAACTATTGACTGAACCAAGAGATCAGAATTCAAACTCATTTCAGAGCTACTATATTGGCTGTTCTTATCTTCCAAGTACACATGACCTTCGTTCTTGAGGTTTATTCGTTTAACAGCTACTTCAGGTTGATCAGACACAGACAGAAGAGAAACATCAGAATTATGTATTAATTTAGAAGCATTAGGTTCATCAACCTTATTCTTCTGGCCCATATCCTCTTCTTTCCACAGGTTTGTTTTTTCAACCACTTCCTGAAATTGTTCAGTCAATGGCTGAAGAGGGTCATCAGAATGAAAAGCTATTTTACCATCACTAGATTCATTGTTTGTATCTTCCAGATCCACATGTTTTTCCTTCAAAAGGGCTAGTCGAGGTTGGTCAATGACTGAATGAAGAGGGGTATCAGTACCCAGTTTTTTTTCAAAACCTCTAGGTCCAGTACTTTCATCTTCTGGGTCAACATGGTCTGCCTTTAAAATGGTTATTTGAGGTTTTTCATTCATTGACTGAAGAGGGACATCAGAGTCCAAAGTTATTTCAGAACCACTATATTTATCACTCCTGTTCTCTAGAACAACACGTTTTTCTTTCTGAATATCTATTTCTTTAACAGCTATTTGAGTTTCAGTCATTGAATAATCAGAATCTGAATTTATTTCAGAACCACTAAATTTAGCACTTTTACCTCTTAACTTAGCATGCTTTTCTTTTTGAAGACATAGTTCTTTAACAACCACTTCAGGTTTGTGAATCACTGACTGAAGAGGGATACTGGAATCCAAACTTGTTTCAAAAACACTTAAATCATTACCTTTATCTGCTAAATTTACATATTCTTCTTTTGGGTTTACTTCTTTAATAGCTATGTCAGGATCATGAGTCACTAAATGAAAAGATATATCAGACTTCATACTGCTTTCAGAAACAACAGGTACATTACCCTTACTTTCTAAGTGTATAATCTCCTCTTTCAGAAGGTTTCTTTCTTTAATGGGATCTTCAGAACATCCAGTCATTGAACGAAAAACATCATAATCAAAACTTAATTCAGAACCACAAGGTTCATTTTCCTTATTTTCTAAGGGTGCCCACTCTTCTTTCTGAGGATTTAGCTTTTTAACAGCTTCTTCTGGATGGTTAATCACTGAGTGAAAAGGGATATAAGAATCCAAACTTATTTCAGAACCGGTGGGTTCATCATCCTTCCCTCCTAAGTGTATATACTCTTCTTTCTGAATGAATGTTTCTTTAGCAGCTACTTCAGGTTGATAAATCCCTGAATGAAGAGGTATATCAGAATCAAAAGTTATTTCAGAAACACAAGATTCATTACTCTTATTTCCCAGATCAATAGACTCCTCCTCATAAATGGCTACTTGAGATTGGTCAACTACTGAGTGAAGAGGAATATCAGAATCAAAAGTTATTTTGGAGCTAATTGACTCAAAGCTCTCATCTTCCAGGTTAATGTGCTTCTTTCTTATTTCTTCAACATCCAGCTCAGTATACTCAGTAACTGACATAAGAGGAGGATCGGAATCAAAACTCAACTCAGAACTGGAGCACCCATAGCTCTTAACTTCCATATCAACATTTAACGCTTTCAGATTTATTTCACCACAATCCCCCTGAGGTTGATCATTAGCTGATCGATAAAGAGAAGCATGAGAATCAAAACTTAGCTCAGAAATGCTAGATTTAACACTCTTATTCTCCAGGTCAAGAGCTACTTCCTGAGCCTTTACTTCTTTAACTGCCACTTGGGATTGGTCAGGCACTAACTTAGCATCTGTTTTCATCAGATGAAAATTCATCTCAGGACCATGAGACCCACAGTTCATACCCACAACGTCATTCTTCTCTTTCAGAAGACAGATTTCTTCAACGGCCCTCTGAGGTTCATCAGTCATGGTCGGAAGAGAGACATCACAATCAAGATGTGCTTTAGCACTACTAGGCTTACGATTCTTATCTTTCAGATAGGCAAGCCTATCCTCCAGGTTTCTTTCTCTGACAGCCAGTTGAGGATGGTCAACTACTGACTGAAGAGGAACATCACAATCAAAACTTGTTTCAGAACAACTCGATCCATAGTTCTTATCAACCAAGCTAATGTGAACCTTCTTCCAAAGTTTTGTTTCTGTGACAGCCACTGGGAATTGGTCAACCACTGACTGAAGTGAGAAAACAGAATCAGCACTTATTTCAGAGCTACTAGATCCATAGTTCATATCAACCAAGCCAACGTGTGCCCCCTTGGGAAGGTTTACTTCTTTTTCGGGCTGTTGGGGGTAGTTATCAGTTGACTGAAGTGAGGCATCACAATCAAAATTCATCTCAGAATCACTAGATTCATAGCTTTCATCAACCAGCCTAATATGCATTGCCTTCTGAACACTTACATCTTTAACAATTACTTGAGTTTGGTTGGAAGTCAACTGAAGGGAGCCATCATAATCAGAGCTTATTTCAGAAACACAAGATTTATCGTTCTTATACTGCAAGTCAGCATGTACTTCCTTTAAGAGGTTTATTTCTTTGGCAGTCACTTTAGATTGGTCCGTCAGTGAATAAAAAGAGGAACTGCCATCAAAACTCATTTCAGTACCTCTTGATTCACAGTTCTCATCTTCTTGGTCAATTTGCTCCTCCTTCCAAAGGTCTAGCACAGCCTCTTCATGGTGATCAGATGCTGACTGAAGATAGCCACCAGCAAACTTCATTTCAGAACTCACTGAGATCTTCTGTTCCAAAAAGGCGGACTTGTTAAAGACCAAATGCTTTCCTTCTTGGGTATGATCCATATTAGGAAAGAATTTCTCATGGTGCTTTGGAATGCCATCTTCAAAGATTCCTTTATTAGACGGCATGTCAGTTTTATTCAGGTTGACTGCTGGGTTTACTGTAAATCTGGAAAGAGATTCCAATTTTAAGAAGCCTTCAGCACCCACAAATTCATGGACTTTAGAGCCAGTTGACAAAGTTTTACCCTGAGATTTTACACCTTCCTGTATAACCAATTTATCTGAATTTATACATAAAGATTTCCTGTTTGATTCTTTAGGTTTCTGATAAGTTACTGAAGAAGTTTCTGGATGGGATGATAGCATAGGGTTTCTAGAGCCCCTGTCTAGCTGTTTAAAGTATTTGTCAACTTTGTTTGGGTCACATTTGTTAACTGAATCCAAATGGGATCCTAGTGGTAACCCAGTAGTAGCATTAGTTGTAACTGTTCTTTCATGAGAACTTTCAGGTAAACAACTAACAGGAGCATTAGAAACCACTGATGAATATATTACGTTTTGTCTATTATTTGTAGCATGACCAATACCAACTGGATTAAATTCTTTCATACTGCTCCCAATTTTATGAATGACCTCCAAGGGCTGCTGCTGTCCTTTCTCCAGTTTTTGAATAACTGATGGTCGAATTGAAACACTCTGTATATATTCCCGAGATTTACTAGGTTTAGAATACAGCTCTTCAACAGGTTCAAAAGCCTTGGAAGACACCTCTTCTCTGACTCCAGTAGCATCCTCAGTCATTATTTCAGGAACAAAATCGTCATTCGTAACCACTCCAGAAGGTGACACAGTAGTCATATGAAGTCTCTCATTTTGCACTGATCTACAAAGCAAGGGGAAAAAAATCCATAAAAATACTCTAACATCTGTTTAAGATTTTTATTAAATGCATAATAAATGTTATTTTCTTCCTACCCTGGGCAAGATTCCTAGAAGACAGAGTCTCAAAATAAAATTAATTTTGTAACATTTGGCTAAGAAAAGAAAGGAAGGCAGAATCATAAAATCAAACAAGTTGGAAATCCCAAAAATTTTCCATCTGTATTTGTGTGTGTTTAAAATTAACAACTAAATCAATCAATCAATCAATCAATAAATAAATAAAATTGACAACTAAATCACAATCCGTATTTCTACTCATTTTAAACTAATTTTACAACAAAAAAAGCCCTCCAAAAATGTAACCATTAAAGGTTAAAAACCACTCTTTCTTTTTTTTTTTTTTTTTTTTTTTGTGC